CGGCGGTGCCTGCGAGGCAGGAACCGCGTCGAGCGCCTGCTCGAACTCTGTTTTCCCCATTTCTGCCGACACTTTCAGTCACCATTTCTGCAACCACCTGTTGGTCCCATTCTATTGAAAGTAGAACAAAAAGTATTCGAAGAGGGCGAAGAAGGAGTTCTGAGTTAGGGTTAGGGTTTCGCTTAGCGGGAGAAGAGAGAAGAGGCAGATTTGGGGGATAGCAGGTCCGGAGGGTGAGCGAAAGAGAGAGTTAAACTGCAGACCAGTCGCAGTACTGCTCTCTTATTTATTTATTTATTTATTTATTTATTTTAAACTTTTTTTTACTTTTTAAAAACAGTTAATATTTCGAAAAAAAATTTAGTTTGTTGACGTTGTGGGCCCGGCCCGACAAATATATAACTATTTAGTGACATTTATTTAGATAGTACATGATTTCTTTTATATATATATATAATATATATATATATATATATATATTATAAAGGGTTGTATTATGTGCTAGTAAGGATCGAACTCAAGTCAAAGAAGTCTTGTGGCTGACAACGCAGCTGTCTACCAACTTACCACTATATATACTTTTTAAAAGGTATATTTTTTTTATATAGGTATATGATGTTGAAATATTATAAATATAAATATCAAAAATCTATTTTTTTTTCCCTATTAGGGGAACAAATTAGAATTTTTAAAAGTATTTCAATTTTTTTTTCATTTTGGTTCAACATAGATATTAATGAGTTTAATTATTTATTTATTTTTTAATATAAAAAGATAATAATAAATGTGATTAAAATTTTTAAAATTTTTAGCACCTAATTTTCATATTCAATAAATGTTGAATGTCTATTTTATTATTGGTTTTTTCTAATACAATATCAATATAAATGACACTAAAATATTATATATATAAACATCAAAGTTTAAGTATTATATATATAATACATAAGAATCATGTATTATGCAAATCATTCAAAATATAATATATTTTTTATTTTAATTTTTTGTGACAAAATAATTTTTAAATTTGCAATGGGGAAATATGTAAATTTTAACCCATTTATAAAAAATAACAAGGTGCTCCAATTTTTATTTAAAAAAAAATTTCAAAATTTTTAAAATAAATATTGAAAATTTATTTGATTAAAATAAATGGTATTTTAAAAATAAATTAAAATGTTAAACTTTTTTAGTTAAATAAAAAATTATTCATTTTAGATGTAATAATTATTAAGATAATAAAACTTAAAAACTACTTAATTAGTTCGGATATATGACCACTTAACAATAAAAATACCTTTTTTTATTGTTATAGTTCAAAGGATATTTTAATAAATAAAAAAATGAAATTTTAAATTTTTTTGATGGGACCCATGTCTTTTTGGTCCTCCCTTGAATCCACCAATGGGTGCTATATATACAAATATTAACAATTGTGTGGTATATATATATATTAATTCCCCTCTATTTTATCTAAGAATGGTATTATGTTATGTTGATTGTTCATCATCACAAAATCACACTTGTATAAATAAAATGCATGGCTAAAATTTTTATATTTGCATGATCGAAGGTTATTATTGTAAAACTTAAAATTACACATCTCATTTATAAGATGATTTATTTTTAACTCTAAAATATACAACAACAACAGCGACAACAAACTTTTATCTCACAAAGTGTGGTTGGCTACATGAATCATTTCTCTCCATTGTGCCCTTTGGAGTGTCGTCTTTTCATTTAATTCTAATAAATCAAGATCATCCGGGTCTTTTTAGGTTCACCTTTCTCTTTCTCAACATAGATTGAATTTAAACCGTCTGCTCTCCTGACTTGATCATCAGATGATCAACGTTTAATGTGATCAAACCATTTAAGATGACTCTCTCTAATATTATCTGTCACTGAAGCTAAACCAATCCTTTCACGGATATAATTGTTTCACATTTTGTCTCCAAGTGTTAAACTACTTTATCCACCCAAGCATTCTCATCCTAACAACAATTAAATTTAAGTGTTGTGCTTCTCTTTTATAGACCAACATTCATCCCCATCTTATAAAATTTTAATGTCAACTCCAAAATATAAAAAATATATTACTTCTTATTTATTGAGGAGCTTTGTTGTCGAGTTTATTAATTTTTGAAATTGATGTTATAGGACTTTGACGAGTCCAAGTTCTACGCACACAAACTATTGAAACAAAAAAAAGACCAATTCAAGATGACCTAGGGTTTGATGCAATGAGAGTTGGCTAGATATGATTAGTTAACCTTTGGATAAGTCAATTATATGACGATCACAATCACAACCTTCCTCTCTAGTCGACTGAGCTAAACTCCTAACATAATTCAACTGATTTGGAGACTAAGTACAACCCAATTCATACACATTTGTTATTGTTATAATCATTAGATTATAAGTCTGTTTGGGGCAGCTGCATCTTATTAAAAAACAGCTATGACATTGCTGAAAAATAATTTATTGTTCAAAAAACTGTTATGGCTATTAGGGGTGTAAACGAACCGAACAAAACGAACATTAGGGGTGTAAACGAACCGAACACGAACGAACAGAGCTTGTGTTAGTGTTCGGTTCGTTTGAAATTTAGTTTGTTTGAAATAAGCTCGTGTTTGAAATTGTTTGTGAAGTCAACTGTTCGTGTTCGGTTTTTAACGAACGAGGCGAACACGAGCTGTTCGCGAACGACGAGTCAGCTTGACATCCCTAATATTAATATATATAAATAATATATTATATTAATTATATAACTTATATTATATAAATATATAATATCTATATTAGTATATTAATATATTATTATTATTATTTTATTATATATTATAATTTATAAAATTTAATTTTTTAAAATATCATAAATTTTTTATATATAATTATTTTCAATTATTTTATATTTCAAACAATAACGATTCGAACACGAACGAACGCATCACTGTTCGTGTTTGGGTTCATTTAACCAACCGAATGAAAAAAAATTGTTCGCGTTCGTCTCGTTTACTTATCAAACGAATCGAACACGGACTCATTGACGAACCGAACACGAAATATTCACGAACAACGAGTTTTTTTGACGGTCCTAGTGGCTATTGCAAATTTTTTTTTTTTTTTGAAAAAGTCATACTGTAGCTAGAAAACCGTCACCGCACCTAGCCATGACCGGCGGGAAAACGCATATTTCAACGGGAGCTTTTTGAAAATGTTGCAAAAACTCAATTTACCCAAACAGACAAAACTGCGGTGCGGTACCTCACCGCCACCCTAAACAAAATGTTAGAAGATTATCTCAATTATAGATTTTCATAACTCAATGGCTAACTAATATTTTTGGGCCTCCATCCGAGCACTTAGAGTAGTATAACGCCAAGTCCATGTGAGTGCTGCAAAAATCAGTGATAAAATACAAAAAATATATGAGAACATGTGTTGGTATAGAGAAGCAATTAATTGTTGTGAGCGAAAACAAGTTGAAAAATAGGGCTATTTATTTATTTATCTTAATTAGGTGCACCATTCTAATAAAATAATAACTTGATGGTGTAAAAGGTTGTTGGGGAGTACTTTCTTTATTCTTTTGTTGTACAAAATAAGTCATAAAATAAGGTGATAGACAGTTTGGCATTCTAAAAATAATATATATAAATGTAAATGTATGTGTATGATGTATTTATTCATATCTTATTCATGCATGAAACTTTATATTTCACTTTTTTTTAAGTTGAAATGGTGGTTACATGAATGATTTAGATGGTAGAGATATTAAAAGTAAAGTTTTGGTGATAGATATCTAAATGTATTGAAATTGGTTGGTGAGTATGTAAATGACCCTCGTCCAGTCATCTTTCAAGAGAGGGGTAGAGCTCTATTTACAAAGTTCAGGCTGCAAATAAGGAAGGAATTTAAATCACTCGAATCGAACTATCGGGAAAGATTCTCTTGACTTGACTGAGTTCTGTGAACATTTAATTGCTTTAATGATCCTGGGGGCTCCTTGAATTTTTCTTCTTGAGACTTTTGATTTAATTATGAACGCCTCATATGTGGAATCTCTTTGACTATCAAATTATGCATCAAACGCTTTTAAAAGTAGTTTAAAGGTTTGGTTCGACTCGGATTAGACCAATTCTGGTATTATTGGGTTTATCTCGTTGAGTCAGTAAGTTTGACTATATGTTTGCCAACATTTGAGTTATGGATGACTTTTAATCAAAGTTTGAACGTTGTGTGTGTAAATACAAAAGTTTAAGCGGTAGAAATGTAAATACATAAGTATTGAGTGCTATGCATGTAATTTTTTTTTCTATTTATTTTAATTTCGCCCCGTTCTCTCCCGCTACCTCCTCTCGGCTTGCCCTAGGGTTTCTACTTCTGCGCATCTCGAACGGCAGAACATCAACGTAAGCTCAGTTGTTTGTTCTTACTCAATGGATTCCTCCATTCTATTAATCTCAGAAGCTGTTCATCCGTCGCCGTCTAATTCTAGCTCTCAAGTCTATTCTAGTTCGATCTTGCGCACCTTCCATTGTAGCTCAGCTTCGCTTTTAATGCTCTGAAGAAAGGATTTAGGCATGCATTTTTATTTTCAGTAAGGTAGGTTGCAATTAATTTTGATTAGCTTGTTTTAATGGGACGTCTAAACCGCCAGATTTGTTTGCTTACCTTACTAGAATTGTTTTTTGAAGTTATGAGTAGTTTTTAATTAATGGAGCATTTTAGGGTGTAGGGAGAAACTAAGCTTGTCAAAGAAGAGGGGGAAAGTTAGGGAAGAAGGTGGGGGTTTTAGTTAAGATGGCTTCATTTTTTTAATCTGTGGTCTCACCTAATGTACTTGTATGATCTACTAGGTGTATGGGAATGAGGAATGCTTTGATTCTTGTTTTAGAACTATTTAAAGTGCTGAATATTTTAAATGGGAAGAATTTGAGTCAAGTATCAAGATATGCTGACATGCTGACATAAAGTTTTTTGGGATGAGTATTTTATTTATTGGATTTGTTTTGATGATGAACTACAAGAGTTGGTTGATTCATTATGCATTCCACTTATCTCTCCTTAAAATTCATCTTCATTGAATTTGAATCATGAGTCCTAAAATTGATACTTCAAATTGTGCTTAAGTATATGGCTTTTATTAGGGCAATTTGTGTGGTATTTTTCACTTGTCATTCTAAGTTAGAGAGTTCTATGAGGCAAATGCTTAAAAAACTAAAATTTTGGAGAAAATTTGGAGAAAGAATGATAGTAGGTGTTTTGTACAATCTCAACCTCAAACAGTCTTCTAATCAATGGAGCACCAAAAAAAATCCTTTTTTTTTTATGTGGTTAATTAATTATGTGGAATTGATCATTGAATTGAACTATTTGTAATTTATATGGAAATTTTCCTATCTTTTATTTGGCTGCCTTTTGCGATTTTTTTCTTGCCTTCAGGCTTTCAAATTTTTATGATTTATTTTCTTTTATTTTTATTTGTTGGATTAATTAGCCTTATAATCTATTCTAGTAATTTTGATGATAACAAACATATGCTTGGATGATGTAATGTTTGAATTAAATATTTTAGTTCCATTAATTTTATAGATATTAGAACTAGATATCGAATCAAATTTTGAGCAAAGATGAATCGAAGATCAATCAAGATGGATAGCTTGGAGCTATATATAGAAAATAATTTGAATTTTCCTGTATGGTTTGCTTTTGCTAACAATTAAATTATTTACTCAATTAATAATTAATTAAGAATAATAACATTAAGTTAATTATGTTTTTTAAATATTTAATTATATTTTTCATAATTTGAAAATTTTCTTAAATACTTACTACATAACATTAACTTCATGAAAATAATATAATTGGATGTTAAAAGAATAAATCCTATTTTATACTATTATATTTGAAAATTTTTTGAGTTATTACATAAATTATTTAATAGCACTTGAATATTAATCAAGAGATTTAAGAATCATCATAAAAATAAGAGATTTATTTTTCCGCCCGTATCTTTGTTACCGTTACAACATCCTTAACTTCTATGTATTCCAGTAGATTTATTAGCTACTGTAGATGCATTTTAATAGTTTACATGACACGCTTTTGATCAAAATTCAATTTATTATTATTTTCTAACATCACAACTTTTCTGCTGAACTAACTAGCCGTTATACACACATTTGGACTTATTTATGTTTGACTTTCCTATTCTGTCTAGATGTTTCTTAGCCTTTCGGATCTAATAATATTTTAATAAAGATCAATTTTTTTTATATAATATTTTTAGAATAGTATTATTCATTAAAATTGATTTAAAGAACCTATTAGTTATAAATAGCCCCACTTTCTTTTTGTACAGGTTGTTCTTAAATTCCAAAAATTCCAAAATTGCTCTCTTATTCTTCTTCTTTCTCTTCAAGCAAAATCCTTAAGCAGAAAGTTCAAATTTTTATTCCAATCGCGCTACATAATTGCAAGATCGAATTTCTTGGTTTGGAAGCCTCTACGCACTTAATCAATCAAACTCCTTTGAAGTCTTAGAGTTTATTTTCTTCTTTTCAAATCATTATTTGCTTTTCATATGTTTATAATATTTATATTTCTTAGAAATATTTATTGGTGGACGGAATACTTATTAAGCATCTTAGATTAAGTTTTGAATGGTTAATTTTTTTCATTAATAAAGGTAGTAAGCAAGTAGGTTTATTGTAATATAGATCTACTCTTTAAACCTATAAATGTTGAAATGTATCTTTAAACTCAGTGAGTTAAACTGTTTCAACTTAAAATCATAAAAATATAGCACTCCTTAACTAAAATATAAATTTATTTTATAGTGAACAAAACTTACATCCATTTGCAAGTTATGAGGTGATTATCAACTCTTTGAAAATTCATCTCAAATTATTGTTAGGATATTGTGCTGTAAAATTTTTTGAGCTTCTATAATCTATACATTTTATAACTTTCTTTTTCTTTATTTAAGCTATTTGGTCTAGTAAAAATCATTGTATTTAGATTGGGATGTAATCACACGTGTAAGAGAGTACTTAAGTTGTAAGAAACTTCTTCAGTTTGAAGAAGTGAAGATTTATTGATAAAACTCGAATTAGTGGATTTATAGCCCGAGAGTTGGCTAGCATGGATATAGGCTTGGTTGGCCAAATCACTTGAAACTATTGTCTGTTATATGTTTTACTAGCACTTGTGGTTCTGTGTTATCTATTTTACCGGCAATTACTTAAATTTTTTATTAATTAATATTCTTACAAAACAACATTAAAATTTTATTAATTAGTCAAATTATTTTCTTAAATCCCAATTGACCCCTTCTTGGGTGCCATAGTCATCCTATATTGTGCTTATCATAAATTTACTAGAATTGATGTCATAACTAAATTGTAACTTTTCATTGTTTTTTTTATGTATTCCAGGTCATTGTTTAGGGCTTATTTGGGATCAATTTTTTTTCTTTTTAAAAAATATGTTTGTTTAGTGTGCTTTTTATGTATTTTTATTTTTTGTTTCTAAAAATAAATTAAAAAGTTTTTGAAAATACTCAAAATAACTTTTGGGTGTTCTGAATGTTCTTAAAAAATTATATTTTAATCAAATAGTCAAATATATTTTATTTCAAATTAAAACTAAAAAAGTAAAATAAAAACCAAATATAGAAAATAAAAAACATAAGTTATCTCAAATGGCCCCTAAGAGAATACTTTTTTTAAGGGGTCCCATGGGATCACTTTTATTCTTTATTTTATATTTTTTGTTTTTATTATGTTTTGATCATGTTTTGATTATAAACAAAGCATGTTTAACATATTTGATTAAGTGATGGTTCTTTTTAAAAAGACTTAAAATACCTAAAAGTTTTTTTGAGTGTTTTAAAAAATATGTTGATTTGTTTTAGAAAAAAATAAAAATATGTAAAAAAACAAACTCAACAAATATGTTTTTAAATAAAACAAAAAACAAAAACAAAATTGATCCCAAAAAAGCTCTAACTAATCACTCGTGAAATCTATTTTGGGTACATGCATCTAATTTTTGTAGGCGAATATGGTGTTCGATGCATTCTTATGTGTTGGTTTTTTTCTCGATCATATTTGTTGCAAACTAAAATATCCATGGTAACAAAGAGAAGATTTTTTAGCTTAGTTTTGAATGAAGATTTCAAACATAATCAGGTGAGTTACATGCTATGCATAGAAGACAAATTTTTGTACGAAAACTTGAGGAAGGGAAGAGCCACAAAATCTTTTTTTTCTCTGGACTTATATAAGTTGTGAGTATAGCTGAGTATAGTGTAATGAGATTTAGACTATTAGGAGCATATTTTATTTTAAAAATGATAACTATGATCTTGGGTTGGGTCAAAGTTTGTCATCCCATCTTAAGCTTTCAATCTCGTTCTAAAAAGAAGTTAAATGTCTTAGAAATCCATAGCATTGGTCTGAGGTGGGGAAATTTACATATGTAGCACACAATTCTTATATATTTATATATCTCAAATCGAGATTTTCATATTTGCATAGCACTTGGGTGCTTTTAAAAAGTCATAATAGTGTTAATTAATTAGTTAAATATGAAAGTTTAGGTTTGAGATCTGCAAATACTTCAGAATTGAGCGCTATTTATGTAAATGCCCCTTCAACATTTTATTTCTCTCCTGAAAAGAATTTGATTATTCTAAACATTTCATCAGTTGGGAGAGGGATGGAGGTGGAGGCAAGAACACATCAACAACAATGAGGTGGAAAAAGGGTGAAACAAAGGAGTATCATTGAAGAAGACCAACAAACTCAAACCATAATGTAATTTGGATGATTTTAGCTGATTTCAATTATTTTTGCAATCTTCTACACTTATTGTCTGACATTTGTTCTTTCCTTTTTTCATTTGCAATAGTTTCTCATGTGCTTCCATCTCCCATTTTTCCATTTTCCAATGAATCTATCACCAGTTTGAGCATGTTTTAATTATTCTTTTTAAACACTGTTGTAAAGCACATTTCATTTGCAATTGAATCTCATGCAATTTGATCAATAAAATTGCTTAATAAAAACTCCAATCAAAACTAGATATCTTTCTAGTCTCACTCTTTGGGAGCATCTCTATGATTTTTGGGATTGATATGGACTCTGTTGATTATGGGTGCACATTAATTGCCTTAATTTGAAATATTGAGTTCATCTCAGTTTGTCTCTGATTGATTTGATCCACGACTTGTATAGCTCATCACTACGGCCTACGAGGTTCACAATTAGTAATCTAATACGAACAACAAGGTCAACGTTCGTTATTATTATTCATAATATATTTCTCGTTTTTTTTTTTGTCATTTATGCTCTAATGAAATGTTGTTATTTACTGAGTTTGATTTGTCAAACTCACACGTTGACATTTTTATAGAACAGGTTTCACCTAGTTATTTATCATACCGTCTCCACTTTAATAATCTGTTAAGCATACTATTTAAAATAATATTAAAAAAATTAGGAAGATTTACATACATACCACTCAATCCTTATTATTTACATGTCTAACATTTATACATCATTTTTGACATATAAGTCGCCTTACTTTGTATGGGTATGGGCGTGTAGGGTTGTCAATTTGGCTCGTTGTTCGTGAACAGCTCGTGTTCGGCTCAGTCGTTAAGCTTTAACGAGCTGAACACGAACAAACATTTGCTCGTTGGTGTTCGACTTGAATTGACTCGAAAATAAATAAATAAATAAATATTTCATAAAATTAAATATTATAAATTGTAATGAATTAAAACTTTAAAAACAAAAAAAAATTATCAAATTTAAAAAAATTAAATGCTATAAATTATAATATATAACAAATTATTAATAAATATTACTTATATAAATATTATATATTTATAGAATATGAGTTATATAATTTATATAATATAATATATAAATATAAAACTAAAAAACCCTAACTCGTTACTCCTAAGCCCTGATGGGCGACCTCACTCTCGATTGTTCTAGAGTTCGGCTGCCTCTCCCTCTTATGGCTCTTCTCGTTCCACTCAATTGCGAAAGATGTTCGGCCGTGAGAGCTTAGGGTTTGTCGTTTGTGTTCGCTGCTCCTCCTCTTCCGAGTCATCTCATTCTCCTCTCAAAATCATGAAAGGGTTTTGGCGGCGAGAGTTTTGGGTTTGCTCTTCCTCTTCCTCTTCTTCTTCTGAGCCCCTTCTTCTCCCGATTCCTCCAATTTCGAGCCAAAGTCGAGCCGAACTCGAGCCCGAAAATATTATTCAAGCCGAACACGAACACACCCTTCACGAGCCATTTCGAACACGAGCCAATTTCGAACACGAGTCAATATCGAAAAAACCGAACACGAGCCGACCTTTATTGCTCTATGGGCATGTGCATTTCATTTTTTTTATGTGATATGAAATATTTGGGTGTTATAAATATAAAAAAAATAAAATTTAGGTGTTAGATATGTAAATAAATAGAAATTGGGTTTTACCAATCGGCCTAAACAAATTCAACTTATAAGAAGGTTGAGGCCTAATATAAGAAGTTCCAACCCAAATTCTTGAACATAATATCCACAAATTTAATCAAGAAACTATTTTACAATCTTTATTTCTACTTGGGGTTATGAATTTAGCTCGAATATTGTTAATTGCTCGAAAATTAATTTAAATTTTGGCTCGGATCGAGATCAGATCAAAATAAACGAGCCGTGCCAAGAGCAGAAACTTTGAGTTGAAAATTTTTCGAGCCGATTTCGAGCCATGCATGAATACGCTTGATAGAGTTTGAGATCGGCTTGTAGTTTTTTTATTTATACAAATCATATATATAATGTTAAATAAAATTGAATAAAATGAGGGAAGAGTTGATTCAAGCCAATTTTAAGCTAGAATGGATTCAAATAATTTAATTTCAATTTGGAACCAGATGGAGCCAATTATGAGCTAAAATGGATCCAACTTGAGCCAACTTGTTTTGATTTTGAGTTGAATAGAGCTCGATTCAAATACGACTTGAAATCAAATATAAAAAGCCTCGAGCTGAATTCGAGCTGCAATAAATCTATTTGAACAGATTTCGAGCCAATTCCAACTCCGCTCGAATTCGGTTCATTGACAGCCCTATAATTCTACTAAATAAAAATTATTTTTTTACTTATGAAATTTAAATCACCTTTATATAAATTACATGATAATGAAAAGAAGAAAAACTTGCTCTTAATAACATTTGATTTATACATTATATAAACAAGCATACATAGGTCTTTAATGTACAATTGTACATATATCTATAAGAAATCATGCATAAGAGTTGATTCATATCATACACACATCACCTAACTTATAACCATACCCTCCTCATCCATCTTCCACCTTTCACTTCCATATCAATAAGTGTAAACCCAACATGCAATATGCATGATTCGAATTCATAGCCTCACAATGTGAGACTGCACCCTCAACCATTATGTCACAGATAAATACACATATAGTCAAGTGTTTGATATGCACTTCAATTTTTCTTTTTATTTTTGCTTATTTGAGTGAACATTATTGTAAATTCATACATACTTGCATATATATATATATATATATAACTGGCGTAGGGGCGAATCACCCTTTTAGTCCATGTGCAAATTTGAATCTGCCTATAAGGGCTGAGATTCGAACCCCTGAGCCCCACCAATGAATCAGAGCTTACACACACATATATATATATATATATAT